ATTATTATTAAAATTGTTTTTTAATGAACATTATCATTACTTTTATATTTATACATTCTTTTTTCTTTTTTTCTATACTTTTTTCACTCTTTATTTCTTTTCTTTTCATTTATATCTTTTTATCATCGTTCCTACCTTTCACATCAATCTTTTTTTTTCCTTCATTTCTTTTCTTTTATTGAACTCATTATACACTTATCTCACCAAAAATTTACAAGATAATTTTTATTCAAAAAAGAAAAAGTTTAAAATTTCGGAAACATAATAATAATGATTATTATTATCGCATGTTTATTAATTATAGCAAATCTTTTTCCATTCCGTTTTAATCTAAAATTTAATGTGACAATGTGACAATTTCGTCAACCGTCTTATGAAGCGATTAATATGTTTATTTATTTACACATGTATTTATTTATTTATATTTTCATTTGTTTATTCAAATTATTTTTTCATTTGCTTGTTCTGTTTTTTAAAAATTAAAATTGTTTGAGAGCAATTATTGCTTTCATCAATTTTCTTTCGGTATGGTTGTTTGGAAATTGTTTCTTTCATTTCATTTTTAATTCCTAAAGAAAAAAAAACTTCAAATATTCCACAATTTATTGCAATATAAATCAATTTTGAGCCAAAATTTGAAAAAAAAAATTTTTTTTTCTTTTTTCTACTTCCGTTTCTTTTTCTTTATAATGTTGGCTACATTACCCTTGTCCGCTTATCCGTTATTTTGCTTGGCTATTTTTAAAATCCTTCCACTTCATCATCGAATCATTTGGGATCTCATGTCATCTTCGGCATATCAGGAAAGTTCAAGTCAATTAATCCTTAAAGATGCAGTCAATAATTGACTGGAACTAATTACACCATATATGTATATATTCTAACATCATTTGATAGGTTAAGGTTAAAGGTTATAAGGTTAACATTAAACCTGCCATTCATTCGTCCAGATTAATTGTCATCGTTATGAGTAATCAACATCAGAAGGATTCAAAATTCTTCTACATGCTAAATTATTATCCCTTTCTTCATCCCGCTGCTCTCTCCCTTCCTCTCTCCCTCTCTCTCTGTCTCTCTCTCTCTCTCTCCTGATCAATCATTCAGTACTTAACCTTAAATGTAAGACTTTGTTTAAGATGACATGTCACCTACCCAATAATATATACTTTCTTCTTTTTTTTGAAATAATCTCTTTTTTTAATTTAATATTTGGCTTAAAACTATCAGATATTCTCTTAATACACTTATCCGTTACGTCAAAACAAGCGTAAATGTAAACAATTGCGCTTGTCAATTACGCTTATCCGTTACATAAAACCAGGTGTAAATGTAAATATTTATTCGCGTATGTGTGGATAAATGTGCGCATATTTCCATGTGCACATCAGGCAATGTTTGTTTATGCATGCATAAGCCTTAATCGTTGGATGTATCTGCTTGCATAAATTTGCATATGCGAACAAATATGCATGTACGTGCGTGCGTGTGGCTTGCACGTAATCGTACGTGTCTGCGTTCACATGCATGTGTGTGCATGCACGTGTGTATGCGCAATGTGTTAAACCTCAGTGCACACACATACACATGCATATGTACGTGTGCATTAATGCACGAGAACGAGAATGTTTACGAGTGTCTCTGTCTGTATGTGTATGTGTGCGTGTGTCTGTGCGTGTATGTGTGTAGGTGTATGTGTGTGTATGCATATATGTGCGCAGTGTGTGTGTACGTGTATGTGTATGTGTGTGTGTGTGTGTGTATGTGTGCGTGTGTGTGTATGTGCGGATATGTGTTGATGTTTACATCACTTTGAAATATGTTTTCTATCACTGCAAAACTTATCCTATTCCATTTTATCATTTCATTGTTAGCAAAACTGCACGACAGCATGGTGTAATAACACAACTTATCGGAGCAACTTCATCTCGTCACACTTCGACGACTTTTCAATTTCGCAAACTGTCTCCTAGCCTGTCGTATGAAATGAAAATGTTAGTTTAGAAAAGGAAAGAGGTAACAATGAAAGAGAAAATCCACTTTGGGAGTAGAGATGTAAACAGTAGTGAAGATTAAATGTTTTAGATTCCCAATGTTATTTTAAGTTCTTTACTGGAATTGATTACTTAATTATAGAGTAATTAAATTGGCAGAGGATAAATTATGGTCATTTGATCGTGTAAATGGGTTGTATTTTTTGTTCTTTTTCAAATTTTTGCGTCTGACATCGGTATAATTTCATAACTCTTAACCGATACTCTCTCTCTCCCTCTCTCTCTCTCTCTCTCTATATATATATATATATATATATATATATATATATATATATATATATATATATATATATATATAT